CCCCAAAACCCCAAAACCCCAAAACCCCAAAACCCCAAAACCCCAAAACCCCAGCTTAATAGAGTAATATTGAATTGTGTGGATTTCAACCTTTATTATAAGTTTATTTAGAAATGGAGCTACAAATAGAAGAAATATATGATTCATACGGAATAGAGGAAGATTTGAAAGGGAATTTTGGGAATTGAGGGAAAATTAAGGCTAGATGACAGGGAAAGGTAAAAATAATTGGTTTTGAGCGGTATATTTTAAAATTTGGACCTAGGGGAGAGGGAAGAGGTGTTTTATGAAATGGGATTTAGTGATGTTGATATATAGAGCACTATTGCTTCAAACCTAGTCATCGCTAAGAACAATAACAAAAGACTTTGGAGGCTACTTCAGGCCAAAAGCCGCGAAGAATCCGATTTAGGATTCTCTGTATTGTACCAGAGCCCTAAGAAGTCTGCCAAAATTCAGAATCATAACAATAGAGCACCTGAAATCGGCCTTGACTGTTCTCTAACTAGTAGCTTCGCAGGAAAAGCCTTGTTCTCAAGAACTTTTTATAAAGATAAAATAGAAATCGAGCCGAAGTCAGCATCCAAGATTAAAAGTAGACTTCAGACAGCGAAAAATCGAGCCGTCGCTTATAAAAATCTGTACGTGTTCGAGGCCTGGCCACTGAGTTTTAACCCAAGCTTAGGTTTATATGCTGAAATTTCGGTATAGATTCAAAAGGAAGAAGACAAGATAAACGGGCGTAAACTTCTGCTTGGAGAGACATATCACGTCCTAAGCCCTAAAAATTCTCTATTGCTTCGTAACAAGGTAAATACTTAGTTCAAGATCTGTAGAAATTTAGAAATAGGTCTAAGCCAAGGCTGGGAGCCTCCTCAAACCGGAACGAAGGAGCTGAACTAGACTTTTATTCAAGAGTAACTGAGAGTAACTTCGGGTTTTCTGGGAATTATTCTCGAACTACTACTGCAAAAACCAAACAGCACAAGAGAATGAAATCTAATTATTGTAAGGTATTACTGGACAAAATCGTGAACTGTACTAAAACATTTGAAGATTATGAGAATATTCGAACTTTTTCGATCGATAATAAACAAAAGGTGGCTATAAAGGCCAACTTGAAGAAGAAAATCCCCAGGTATATGCACGGAACAGACTCTCCGGATTATACTGCAATTAATAAGTTAAGCAACTTGGTCAAGACACAGCGAAGGAACTTTACTAGTTAGTTGAAGAAAGTTAATTTATAGAGAAAACTGGGTACCGATGAAGTCCATTCTCACAAACCATGAAGACATCCCTATCAAACTCTAATTTCGCAAAAGGGGTTAGCAAACAGAGGCTGAACCAAATTATGTACCCTGATAAGGGAGAAAGCTAGTGTATATTACTATTCTATTTCGAAAATCAACTTTATGATATTTTTTGGGGTTTTGGGGTTTTGGGGTTTTGGGGTTTTGGGGTTTTGGGG